GCGCTACACGTGAACTAAAAGCACCCATCTCGCTATCGATCACCGCGTTGTTTTTGAGTCTCGCCGATTATAGCCACATCGCCCGCATCATCATTGTACACGGCCACATGGAGAGTGACTGGGACCGCAGACCTCAGATTACGACGCAGCGACTAATCAGCCGTTGCTCTGAATGCGCACATTCGCCTATCGGTGGCAACAACACGAGCATGAACAAGCAGGAACACGGTGGTAACAACAGGAAGCACCGGCCGAGCGCGTCAATAGAGCACGGACTCACAAGGCGCGCTGCCGCTTGTGCCGCTGGTGCAGGTCGCGGTGACAAAACGCGCGGCGCTTTAATCGGCGACCTGGAGGTGGGGGGTGTCCCCTGGCACCAGCGCTTTAAATGCCACCGCGTCGCCGTTTTATTTTATTTTAAAACTGCCCACGCCAAATGACGCGACAGGTTTTCATTCATTGCGATATCGACGTGTGCGAAAACCCAGCAATGAAAATGCAGTGTTTGTATTGAATTATAAAATGCCGGTCAATGTGTACCCTAACGATAGGAATCGTTTTCGAGGTGTTGGTGAGGAATGCGAGAGAATAATCTAAGAATCGTGATGATTTGTTTTCTGATTGGGCGCCCTTCACACCGCAGTGTCTCAGAGCCCTTCACACGCGATAGCCACCCGAGTTGCAGGGCTGTCCGCCTGACTTCCTGGGTCTCTTCTTTTCGCCGATGTATTCCAATTTGCCTTATCTGTGTCATGTCATGAGACGCACAATCTATATTTGGAAATCTCACAGAGCGGTTCAGAGGCTATGGAAGAGAATGTTCGCAGCACTTGTGAACAATGCTTCAATGGGACTTGTTATCCTCCACACGCGCAGGGCGGCACTTTCCCACACACTCTGCTGTGAAATTGCTTGTCACATGGCAGTCAAACCGACACATATATATATTTGTATTGTTATATCAGCTGGAAATTAGCCAAATAAAGTGCCAAACCAAATGTAATGTGATTGTTTCCGTTAGTCGTCGGTGACTGGGCTGAAATGCCACCCGCTTCCGTCAGGGGTGGTTGCCCAGATTTGCAAGGTTGGCTACGAATGGTGCGAAAGAGGTTCAACGTACGTCCACACAATACCCGTGATCTCAGTGGTGCTGGCTCAATGCTCTCACCTCGTGACCACCTCTGCTGGCTGCTTCATTTACTCAAGAGATTCATTGATCCGCAGTAGTGTTGCAGGTGCACTGCTTGTATACTCTGTAGCCACCCCACAGGTAAACACCTAATGTTTACGATCCCTGAATAAAATAATAATCCTCCTCTTGGTCAGGCCAATTGAGTATCAGAGGGTAGGTTGCCTGGCCTTCTGTATTGCCACACGAATCCAGCGGGCAGTGTTATGCTCACTGGCTATTCATATTTTCTTTTGCACGAATGGTACAAAAAATAAACATTTATTGGAAGTCAGTGTAAAATGCGAGGTTTTAGTCTGTGAATAAATACATTTTTTTTCCGTTAGATATGAATGTGATTAAAAATGTTTGCACGCGTGAAGATAAAAACACATGTATGTGTGCTTATAAAGACGTGTCGTTAAATATACATGGATTACAGATTTCAAATACGTACATGGAAATTAAAGCAAAGGTCAACTCTGCACATGATGAGGTGTGGGGTTTCCCACGTGTGTCTGTGCTGCAGGTTACATTCACAGAATCGTCGTTTTGTTTGTTTTTCTCCTCGAACTGTGCGACATTTGTGCTGTCGGTGACTTGTCAAGAAATGAAGACAACTCCTCCCGCAGCTTTCACAGTGAGCAGTGAGATGCCGACCACGGGCAGTGTTCACCACGGACAGGGTTCACCATGGGTAGTGTTCACAGTGTTCACCACGGACAGTGTTCACCATGAGCAGTGTTCACCATGAGTAGTGTTCACCATGGGCAGAAATATTCGCTGTATTATAGGCGCGCTTCCTCTTTCTTGGCATGTGCTGGAGATGTTTAATTTCACATAAAAAATTTCGAAACCGATGTTTCTCTCTCCCAAGTGCGCAGTGCTGCGGTACCCTTTTTAACTCGCATTTTCTCAGAAAAGGCGACGACGGTGACCACCGTTTGTCATCTAGAGAAATAACGTTTCAAGAAAATAATTGTGAGCCATCATGTGAACGTGTACCGTGGCGCGCAGTGTTCGCTCGCTCTCGCAGAGGGACAACTGCAAAGTGGGAAAGGAAGCGGCCATGTTGTGAGCGAGCACCAATTTCCCGCCAAAGCTCTGCGGTCCTCGACATATAAAGCTGTTCTTGGCCGATTAATGAGTCTTTACATGCGGGTGGAAACGGAGCGCCCGGAGAATAGCCACACGTGCCAATGGGGCAACACTCGCTCATTGAGATGGACCAGACGGACTTGACGTTTGCTGTACCGCCTTCTGCTGGCAAGCGTCCCGAAAGTCCACGCAGCGTCGGTGCGGCGATCCACCAGAGCCGTGGCCTCCACAGCGCCGGGCCGCCTCGCCACCGTGGGGCGGGTACCCCGAGAGGGAACTTTGGGAGCCGACGGCTCAAGGGGCCGCGCGTCCCTGCCGAGCGACGCGCGGCGTCCCACGCGTGGACGACACCCTCGGCCAAGGCGCCGCCACGCAGCTCAAGAAACCGCAGCGTTCGGGCGGGAAATACGGCGATGATTGTTTGGGTTGTTTTAATAAAGGCAAGTCTCTGTTCAAGCTTGCTCGCGCAGTTCCCGTTTTGAACGATTACGCAATGCAGATCTTTCCCAAAACTCGGCTATGCCGCGCGCGGTTCGGGCGGGCGCAGTGGTTCACGTTTGGAGTTCAATGTTGGAGTGACGATCGCGGCAATCGTTGAAATTAGTACATCGCTTCGTGAAAAGGAAATGGGCTTGGGGACGATGTCTCAAGTGCTGTGCTTGTTCTTCACCTGGGATGCGGGCACGCCTGCGAGATGTCCTTTTGCGGGGTGCGAGACATGCCAAATTTCTTTAGAAAGTAAATAATGGAAAATACAAATTAATATTATACTTTTTTTTACGATTGGGAACCAAAGGGGGTGCAGGCTACAGTAAAGGTGAAGAATCAGTGACCTCGTGGACGACACGTGGAGGCGGAAAGCGTCCGGGCGTTCGGCGACCGCGGAGATGGAGCGACGATTCGCTTTGTGTGTGTGCGGGAGCGAGGGGGGCGGCAGTGGCAGCAGCGGGCCGCTGGGAGGGCTTTGTGGCTGTCGCTCATCCAGAAGGATCAAATTTTCTGCGCTGTTGCAGACAAAGTGCACGGGATGTCCAAAAGTAATGTCGTAAAATAATAAGACCAATAATTCGCTGAATGTAGACAAACGGCAACGTTTGGTGTGCACGGTAGACGTGCAGTTTCGCAATGTGGGAGGGAGTGCAGTTATTTAACTTTCAGTAATGACCGATGTGAAACAGCAAACAAGGGAAGCAGAACACGAACCATTGGGGCACAACGCTCCTCCTCAGTCATGAGCCATCCCCCCCCCCCCCCCCACGTCTTGGCACAGCACACATGGCACACGAGTGAACGGGTGTGTAAGAAATAACAAAAAGAATGCACGACGCCTTCACTGCGGTGCCGCTGCCGGTGTGTTTGGTCTCTCCCATTGGAGGCCACCTCGGGCTGACGCTCACAGCGGTGCAAGCTTCAGCAGGCGCACACCACAGGAGGAGAATAAAAAAAAGAGCCCCACCTGTTATCAGAAAACGGTGGGTGGCACGGTTTGACAACGGAAGTGCATCCCAGGCATGTGGCACCACTCGTTAACCACTTGAATAATGAGAACTCGCGTCGTCTCCCTCCCTCTGTGTGGGCGCCCTCTGTACCAGCGTGCACGGCACCCTCGTGTTCACCTTCTGAAGCGCTCGCTCGTCACCGTGGCATGCGCGATAACCACCACCACGTGACTTTTATTTCGTGTTGTGCGCGGTGCATTTAGCGCCATAGCGCGTGGATTTATAGCGTTTGTTTGTTTGTTTGCTGGTGGCTGTGTATTTTATATCGAAATCGCCTCCAGTGCTGTTGCTGCTGGCGGCAATAAAAGTTGTTTAAAAGTCTGTGTGGCCGCCAAGAGACACCCCCCCCCCCTCGTGTGGCATTCATTTGATTGAACGTTGGGGGCGAGCGCAAGAGGGGGTGGTGTTAACAGCGACCGTCACTTTCGTCTCAGTGGTGCTCATGGTTTTGCAGACTGCACCAGGTAATCATTCAAGGCCAAGTCGACGTAAAGGACCGGTCCACATAGGACTCGCGATCAGCCGGCTCCGTGAAGAAGCAGTGGTGGTAACAAGTGTCGCCGTGTACGCCCTCCGGTGCTAAAGCGCTCACTGGATATTTCCCGGGTCGCTTCTCGACTTGAGTGTCATACAATGAGTAGCCACAGCCGTATTGAGAGGTCGACTGGATGTGGTGTTCTGGCCATGGGGTCCACACCAGCCCTCTCTACCCAGAGGATTCCTCGGTCTCGCAACACCACACGTGCTGCCGGGGGAGGAATGATAAAGGTGGCGCATGGGACAGTCTTTTCCAAACACATGCACGCTTCGATTAGCGCCTGTCAAGCCTGTGATGGAGTGGACATCACCGACATCTGAATCTTTAGTGGTTCCTCTTATGGACCACACGAAATAAGAACTGTGATTCTTATCTCAACAAGGGGCTCATTGTGCATGAATTATTGAAAAAATAAAAACCAACCGAAACGTGGCCCGACCTGGAGCCGTCGACGTCACGGCTCACGAAGCCGTGCTGCTCACGCAGCAGGACTCCCGTCAAGCCTTGCGTGCCACGCGATCTCCGCGTTGTACGACTTGGGCACAAATACTGTAGTGTGCGACGAGTATGCGGATCCTTTCAACGCTGAACTTAAAAAGGGAATGAGGCGGGAAGGACGTGGCTGCGTGTAAACGGAAATGACCGTGCAGTTTCCGCGTTTCGCTCTCAAACTGCAAACCGACACGGGGCACGGTCATCACGCCACAAGAAAAAATACTTTTATTATTGAAGCAAATTGTGAATGAACAGACAGCTAAAACTGTGCGTTTGCTCAAATTCATCTAACGACGATTTGAATGTTTATTCAAATAAAACTGCAAACATAATACGTTCTTAATAAAATAATATGTTCTTAAAATAAGCCCTTGCATCTATAGTATTGGCCCTGAGTATTCGCACGAAGCCACGCGTCTTAACAACGCGCCCGCCGATTATTCAGCTCACTTTTGTTTTGCGGACGAGTGACCTTCACACAAGCAGTTAGTGTTCCCCTGCAGTTGGGTCAAGGTGCCAACAAGCCATCAACGAGCTCCCTCGGCTCTCTCTCTCTCTGCGCCCTCTCGTTCCACCACGGCGTGCACAGGCCACCTCAAAGGGAGGAGCAGCAGCTGATCTCATGAGAAAGCAATGTGCGGTTGCCACAGCAGCTGGCGATCGAAGCAAGGCCGCCCAGGGGTTCCCATAAACCTGGGGTAGGACACCGCGTTGCGAGGCCCCCTTGTGCGCGAGGCTTCGGGGCCGATTGCCCCTATTTAGCCCAGCCTCTCGGGGGTCATGGGGGGGGGGGGGGGGGTCAAAGCAGCACGGTGGTGTTTAGTGGATTTGAGCATCGCTCGTCTCCTCTCGGGTTGCCTTTGGATTTGAGCAAATGTATTATTGTTGTGTTCCACTGTAAAATGTACATGGCAGTGTCCGTGTGGCAGTGGCGATTGATACGCTGTGTACATGGCACACACGAGACAGGCCCAATGCGACGCCACATACCTCACTTCGGGGGGGGGGGGGGGGGGGTGGGGTTCATTCATCAAAAACTGCAGCCCGTCATTTAAAAAAAAAAGCTGTTTTCTAAAGAAAAAAAATCTTTCTTAACTTGTGAACTATAAAAATGGTACATTTCTCAGGTTTTTCTTATATATAAAAACAAATGAAGTATACAGGGAGCATACAACATTTGGTACATTGTTTTAAATATACAAAGCATTTTTAAATACCCCTAACAATGTGTGAAAAAAAAGCAACCGGAAATGTAAAATTGTGGGTTGATTTTCCCGTCCGGGGTTGGCGGCCCGGCCGGGTCGAGGCAGTAACAGTCCCTGATGGTCCACTGCGCTGGCTGCGCCGCGGGGTAGTGAGGAGGAAACCGATGATTGTCGTTTATTTTAAAAAAATAAGTGTAAAGTGACAGTTGTGCAGAGGTAAAAAAACAACGGCGAGCAGGGCATCTGTACCGGATTTGGTTTGCCGGAGGTGAGGGCACGGCGCTCAGCGTGCGCAGGGCAGCCTGCCGGGGTTACGACGGCGCCGTAGCAGTGTGCGCATGCCCGACTGGGTGGGCGCCCTCTTCTCTTGACCGGTGAAAAATGTAATGTCAGGCAACCTCGACGGCTGCCGACGAAAATGTATCCTGCATGAAATCAGTGTGCAGCAGCAGCTTCCAACAGAAAGTGCAGGATACATTATAAAAAAATAAACTCGGCCTCATTGAAACTCACAGCGGTACACACACCCTGCAAATAGTCACCTTAGGTCAAGTAAATTAAAATGCACGCGCGCCTCAAGGCGTCGCAGAATTGAGGATTTTTTTGCAGAGTTCATCCCATTCATCTGTCCGACCGTCCGTGCGCCACGATCACGAGGAGAGCTTCTTCAACTTGTCGAGCGTAGAGAGCAGGTGCCTCCGCCTCGCCTCCTGCCGGCACTTCTCCACCTCCAGCCGCCGCTCGTCCGTGCCGAGCGAGCGCGCCAGCTCGGCCGCCTTGCGCAGGATGAGCACCTTGGCGGCGCGCTCGTTGGCGCGCAGCTCGGGCACGGAGTCCCGCAGCGTGACGAAGCTCGAGCGCAGGCCGTCGCGCCGCTGCCGCTCCAGGATGTTGTGCGTGCGCCGCCGCTCGCTCTCCTCCGTGTCGGAGCCGCCGCTGCTGCTGCTGCTGCTGGCGCTGCTCGGCCCTCGGCTGCCCCACCGCTCCGCCGACGGCCGGGGCTTCGCCACGAACCGCGACGCGGCGGCCGTCGCCGAGGCCCCCCAGCGGGGTCGCTTGACCGGCGGAGGGCTCGGCGGGCTGGGCGCGGCGTAGTTGTGCTGCTGGTGGATGGGGATGTGGCAGCCGTGCCGCACGGCGCCCCACGGCTCGCGGCGGGGCGGCCGCGTGCCGGCCGTGTTGGTGTTGACGGCGACGCCGCACGGCGCGCGCCGTCTCGACGGCGCGGGCTGCTTCTTGTCGACCGTCACCACGTCGATCTCTTCCTCTGCGCCACGGAGAGAGGGAGGTTGAGGCCGGCGCGCGATCATGCGTGGCGGTAAAGCGGCCTGTCCTGCGCGTGTAAAAAGGTCGCCGCCAAAACGGTTATAGAGCCTCGTGACGCAAGCGTTCGTGTAGCTGGCGCCCCAGCTCGCGTCTGGCAAGTGCAGCGGCAACATTTATAATCCAGAATGGAAAAATCTACGTTAATTTAATGGAATTTTTTTACACCATTCGCAAGCTGAGAATTGTGATTTCTAACGGTACAATTTTAGCTGTAAACAATGTTGCACGGTATTTGGCCCAACTTTTAAAAAGACTCCAATGCTGGCAGATTACCCCAGGCACCTCACACTAGTTAGAATCTCTAAATATCTCATGGAAATATTATTTTCCAACATTCATCTTTAGTGTTTATTCGAGATTCAACAGCAGCCAGGAGATCCACTCGGCACATCCAAAACCAATGCCCTTGTTTGCCCCACCAAGCCGTGCCAGGCCTTGCTTTCTAAGAATTGCCGAGTCCGTGACGTCCGCGAGAGGACGGCGAGCAAGCCGCTGAACCCTCGGCGCACCCCGCTCCCCGCCGGGCCCTCTGGCTGCCATCCAGTCTCGAACGCGCACCACATTTAATCTGCCGCAGGGCTGGCATAAAGCGCTGCACTGCGCGTGACCTCAACGCGTGGCGGCGACCCTAGGTAAAAGGGCTGCTGCGCGCTTTTGTCCTCCACCGCGGCGGCAGAATTAACGACGGCAGCAGTTTACGTTTTCACCGCGCCGGGGGGGGGGGGGGGGGGGGGGCTCAAGGGACGGCAAACCTCCAAAGCCAACTTCAAAGGAATTATTTCAGCCGGTTTGGTATTGCCGAGATAATAGTCGAGTGGATAACGGGAGCCAGTTAATAACAAAACTGTTGGGCAAAGTCTCTGACCGCAGAGCATTGCCGCTTCTACCACAACAACATCCACGTTAATTTGAGCGGTTAATCCACTGCACTAACATCGGTGATGAGTGATACCCGATCTGTCCCTGCCTTACCCATCCTCCCCCCGCTTTAGCAACCCACACTGGCCACCGTGGGGTGAAAGTAACATTACGACCGACACCACCTTAATTATCGCTAGATTGGGAATGGCTGGAACTTGTTATCTTTTAAACATTTCTGCGTTACCGCAGACTCCGTGTACTCTACGCAGCCACCAACTTTGGCGCCGCCACCGCATCGTTCAGGCAACCCGCGCGCGCACCCCGTCGACGCTCACCCGAGTCCGTGGGAGGTTCCGTCTCCGTCTGGCTTGGGCAGGGGCTGAACCTCGACGGCGTCGACGGCTCTATCACGCGGGGGCTCAGCGGCTCGGGGAAGCACGGCTCGGAGCCGCTCGGCGTCGTCGGCGTGGCCGGAGTCGCCGGCGCGGCCAGGCCGGCGTCGGGCGGCGGGACGGCGGGCTCCTCGCGCATCGGGCCGGGAGGCCGCGTCGCCTCCGACCGCCGCCGCTGTTCGACGGCCGCGGCCGCCGCCCTCTCCACCTGCTCCCTGGCGTCGAACGCGCTCCACATGCAGTCCTGCCGCAGGCCCGGCACCACGGTGGACCCTTCCGCGAGCAGGTCGTTGATGAAGTCCTCGGCGCTCTCCTGCTCCTCCTGCTCCCTCAGGAACTCGGAGACGAGCTCCAGCGTGTCGGAGCCGGGCAGCAGGTCGGAGCCCGGGTCCCAGCCGTCCGTGGACAGGAAGCCGAGCTCGTGCTCAAAGTCGGTGCAGCCCGGCGAGAGCGGCGGCGTGGGCAGCAGCTCGAACCGCTTCCACGTGTCGATGGTGTCGTTGGGCTCCATGAAGGGATACAGGCTGCAGTCCTCCTGCTCCACGCCGTCGCAGTTGAGGAGCTTCTGGACCTCCAGCGCACGGTCCAGAGCGCTGACGTGCTCCGAGCCCATGGCGGCAGAAAATCCGTGCGGGGCGAGGATTCAGGGCCCGGGGGTGGCGACAGATGCGGAGCTGCAACGACGGTCGTGAAAGAAACGACAGGTACGTTAGGGATGAACGCAATGCGGAACTTGAGAGCCAAGTGAAAGTGCATCTTTGAAGCATTGAATAAAGGGGATATTCCATAGACAGCATACAGACGAAATTTCTCTCGACTTTTTTTAAGCGAATTACTTTTCATTTTTAAATCCCACACCCTTAATTTAAACAAGATTTTGACCACCCAGATGACTCGTGAATTAATAATGCATACAAGAAATGTTTACGTTTTACAAGAGTGAAACAAAAGCTCTTAAATAAATGCCTACAACTTGTATCAGGCACCCGTAGTAGATTGGTGCAGTCTCCAACTATTATCAACTCAAAAATGTCTCAAACCTCTCATCCCGACTGATATTTAATGAAGCGAACGGTCCGTGAAGGGAGCGCTGCCCAGTTCTGTAGAAGCGAGTGGAGGAGAGACGCTCCAGGAGGTGGCGCTGGAGGCCTCTGGGCGCAGGGCCAAGTAGCGCAAAGGGTGACCGAGGCCCCGCCGCCGCATTCGGGGCTCGTCACGCAATCAGTGCCTGCTCCATCGCGCCCAGCGCCCCTGGGCGGTGGTAGATTCGAGTTCACCGGAGACTTTAAATTGCACAAGATCCCTCCTGGTCGCCGGATTTAAAGTGTCACCCGCTAGCCGGTGTTTCTACTCCCAATGTACTTGCACGCCGAGAAAAGTGGGCGCTTGGTGGACAACATCGCCACGCGTTGCCACCGAATAACGCATGCCGGCGGCTTTGGCAGAGATTGCTCTCATTCGTCACGACGAGGGTACGCTTCGATGTATACATCTAGAATTACACAAAGTAATGCACTGGAATGTAATTTTCCTATATGGTTTGGTGTCATATTCTGCAAGTTCGAGGCGTCGTATTGTGAGAACAAGTGGAGCGTGTTTGGGGCAAGATGCCCCCCCCCCCACCCCGTGGTCAAGACCAAGCGCGGGGTGGCAGCGAACGGAGCCAACCGCTCGGCGACCGCGGAGATGGAGCGACGAAATCCGCGCGTGCGCAGGAGCAAGATGGATCGTTGCCTTGCGAGGCCGCGAGATATATAGGACGTGCAACATTCCGCAGCATGCCTCGAGCCACACGTTGATAACTCACGGTTGATGTTACGTAACTATACAGCATGCGTGCAAACAGCCACCTCTCACGGCCCTGCGATAACCCACCCAGCACCTACACGAGATCCAATATCATTGCTCCATCTCCTTAGAGGACGTACTCTAGGACGCGTTCCGTGTATTTACAGTTTGACAACACGTTATTTTCAAACGCGCCGTAATAGCAGCAACCACCCACTAATAATTTGCAGCCTTCATCAATCCACTGCTGGATGAATAGTTAAGTCTTTCCCACCCCGTGTTGGCCACTCTCGGGCGTTACGGAGGCGAAATGTCAACTACCTCGCCTGTTTAAACACTTAGTAGGCTTTCGCGAACAATATTATTAATAATAAAAGGTTTTTGGGTTAGATCGCGTTTTCTATAAATGTGCCGTAACCCTCCACCACCCGACACGGCCAAACAGTAAAAGTGCGTCACATTTACAAAAGACAAATATCTCTCTGCCCGTGGTCGCGTGGATTTTTTCTCTCCGGATCCTCCGCTTTTTTCTCTCCACATTTAGAATGAGCATGCTTTAGAGTATGTGGCTGCTACATTTCCACATGACAAGCCACATCGTTGAGCTATCATGTGGCCATGTCGCTGCTGAAAAAGAGCGATTTCGCCGAGTGAGCTTTATCTGGTAATAAAGTAAAAAATGTTAAATATTTAATATTTTGACCATACTTCACCACGCTGGTCAGTGCGTAGTTGAAGGCCCGTGGGTGCGGTGGGGGGCCTTGGACCGATCGCTCGCCAGTGATGTTAACCGTGGCCGGGAATCGATCATCTGTCCGAGCTCATAGCGCGATGCGCTAACCACTGCGCCACCACTCCACCCCGCAGACCGACACACATCGTCAACTCCTGTCCGGGACGCGTTACGAGACGCGACGAGGCAGCGAGCGACTGGGAGGGGGGGGGGGGGAGGTCCCCGTCCCCCGACGCACCGGCAGCAGGCGAGGCCAACGTTTAAACTGCGGGGCTTCCACTCTCACCGTGGACACAGCCTGCCGCTTCCACTGCAGACATGTGGCCAGCGCGTCAAGTATGTTTAACAATCACTCGGCTCAGAAGGAGACGCCAAACCCTCGATAGAGTCGCCCGCGACATCACTTACCGGCGAGTGCAGCAGCAGCGAGCCACGGATTCTCCAAAAAGAATCTCCCACGGCAAGCTGACGATGCTCCGAGTTTGGTTTTCGAAGAATGCTGGCCCGATCCAATGCGATCAGATCCGATTCCACGGGGTCGCGCTGAGGCCAAGATCACAGAAAGATGCAGAGGGCATGCAGAGTCGACTACAGTGGTGCTGGTGGTGGTCGAGCGTGAATGCGCGACGCGTGCGTCCGGCGTGCGGGATTTAACCAGGGTGTGGAGGCGCGCCCCTCCCCCCCCCCTTCGCTCGTAAATATTCATCAGCGCCCGCACGCGCGCGTGGTGCAGGAGGAGGGAGGGAGGGGCGGGGTTGGGGCAGAAAGCAGCGCAGCGATTGTGGCCGGGAATTGTATTATTCATGTTATTGTAAGTGGGATTTAAGTTAATCTCCCTTGTTGCCAATTGGATTAAAATAATAACATGTTATATATATACTGTATATCGATTTTGGGAAATGCTTTCACCCAGTTAGGAATTAACTATGGCTTACTGATGCTTGAGTTGTGTTTTAATTTATTAGATGGGTTAGATGGGTGATCCTGTTTAGTCAGTTCCACGGCGACTTCACACGCGGGAGGTCCGTGCGCAGCAACAACAGAATGAGGACAATCACTGAATCATGTTGTCTGTTTATCTCCTAAAGTGGATAATTTGGTCCAGTGCGAAAGAAGTTCAACACACGTGCAGATAGTGAAAATTAGTTACGTTGTATTAAATACATTTTAAATTTGTTATTTTTTGTTATTGTCTTTGAACTTATCTACGTGAATTTACCGATAGACCCAAAGAATAAAATTTAACGTGTGCACTTGTGCACGACTGCCAACGCAGCCTATTCATTTAAATAAGCGTTTAAATGTAATTATGTATTTAAACGACACCCCCCACCCCCACGGCTGATTTCCATCCTGCGCGGCGACGTCACGGAACGGGGCTCGCTGCTGCTGCTGCTGCTCTCTCGCCGCGTTAGCATCTCAACACACCTTGCGTAGAGGGCGCTGCGAGCAATTCGCATGCACATACGCCGATTTCCATTGCATGTGCGCCGCGGGTGGGGGCGTCAGTCCCGTTCAGGCTAAACCAGCACGGTGAGGGCGTCAGTCTCGTTCAGGCTTTACCACGCGGGTGGGGGCATCAGTATCGTTCAGGCTATACCGCCGCGGTGGGGGCACAATGGGGGGGGGGTAAGGGGGTGGTTTGGGAGGAGGCGGGGTCAACCCACCAAATTTCCCAGTCCTGGAAATTCAAGTCTCCTTCTCTTACTCGAAAGCAAAACGAGCAATATCTGTGGAGGTTTCATTGGCCATGCCCAAATATGGTCCGCGCCCGGTTCCGCTCGGGTTTTTTTGCTTTCCCGAAGCCATGGAGATTGGATCGCTCCGCCAGATTCTGGCATCACGCCGCCGCCTGGCGCAGCAGCAGCCGCCTGGCGCAGCAGCAGCAGCAGCCGCGCTGCTGCTGCTGCTGGGCTCGCGTGCCAAGTTGGGGAGTCGCCACGCACGCAAACGAGTCGCTAGATGTCGCGCTCGGTTGACCTTCCAAAGTTGCCAAATGTGTCACTACGTCTACCAACGAGTACAGCAATGTGCAACCATGTAGACGCATAAGTATGGCGATGCATTCGTTTTTTTTTTATTCCAAGTTTAAAACTGTAAAAACCTGTTACAAGTGAACAATCCTCGTGGAGGTGTGGGCGTGGCTCGTTAGGCAAAGGTAAAGGTGCAGTCCTGCAATTAACTCCCTCGCCTGGTATGCAGGAGGTCCGAGGTTCGATCGCGACCCTGACGCCTGCTGCTGCTGTATAATTGGAGTTTGTGGTGTCTCTCTCCCCGTGATCGCGTGGATCTTTCTCCGGGTCCCCCGATGTTTCCTTCCACACTTAGAAACATGCGCAGAATTCTAATAACATCTCACCATTTGGGTTCAGATTGGGGGGGGGGGGGCATTCCTCTTAATCGAGCCTCTCCAGGTATCTCCATCGATTCCCACGTGAGCATTGAAGTCGCCCAGTCAGACTGTGGAGTCGGTCGTCGTCAATCTGCCAAGCACTGCGCCCACTGTCTCCAAGAAGGCCGAATACTCTGAACTGCTGATTGGTGCATAAGCACAGACAACAGTCAGAGCTTCCCCTCCTGAGACGCGAAGTCTCATTGAGGCGACCCTCTCATCCACTGGGACAATCTCCAGCTGAACAGCACCCAGCCGGGGGCTTGTGAGTATCCCCAGGGGTTACTCCGCAATAGGAGAGAGATCGAGAAGTTTGGTTCCAGTGACAATGCTGTGCGTGGAGGTGAGACCAACTATATCTAGTCGGTACCTTTCCACCTCCACCAACTAATTTATTTAGAACGTGTTTTTGTGCTTAGTGTTGTTACCCTTCACCCGCACCTCTGATTAGCACGGTTGGCTACTTACGGTGCGAAGGAAGGACAACAAACAAACATACGCGTGGCGAGAGGGCCTTTGTTCGGCAGTAGATTAACAAAATACATATTCACAACGCGGGGGGGGGGGGGCTCCTCTTCCCCACCATGCCCCCCGTGTATGTAGTTCAGATGAACTGCCGACGAGCAGCTGAGGGCATGGGGGGGGGTGCAGCATGCGGCGATGACTCAAGGGCGGCGTTGTGAGCAGCAGCACTGTGCGGAACTGACCACTTCGGAGCTGACTTCCCGATGCAAAAAAAAACCTAAAACACAAAACACACGCCGCAGTTGGTTTGGGTTTGGGGGGTGCTTTCACCCTCGCGGTGCCGGTGGTGGGATGGGTGGGCGAGCGAGTGGAGCAACGCGCGCGTCCCACGAACTCGGAATCCAATCGATGACTCACAAACCCCGGGTCCCCGTTTCCCTACGCCGAGCGGTGACCGCGCTTGCAGTTGATGGACACGGTTAGGAAATTCCACGTGTTTACGAGGGACGTTTTCGATTTAAAGCTTTCGTGACTGCAGGGATTCATCTTCTTGGACTTTACCGAAAGAACCAAGAAGAGGGACGTTTTGTGAACCGGAAGCCGGGAATTCCGCTGTACAGAAATGTCTCACCCGTGAATGCTCGTTATTTTACGCATGCCATGCATCGTGCAGGCCGTCTGATAACCATATTTCTTTCTCCATAAACAGCCCCTTGATTTCAACCGGGAAAAGTCCAGTACAATGTTCCGGGAATTATTATGGCACGCCACATCCAATCTTCATCTCTCCATAGGATTGCATGAATATTGCGCATATGATTACATGAATATTAGGGTATAATAATATAGGATTACTATGGATAGGCGTACCGAGTACTCGTAGTGGTAGTGCCTTTTCGCTGATAATTCATACTCCAAGCCTGCCTATCAGCCTTGAGAAAAGAATACGTGTGTTAATGAGTTTGGTCGGCCAGAAGTGAACTTAGCTGAGATTAACAGGCCTTGGCCCAAAACGAAATGCGTCTCCTGTGTCTGTAGTTGCGTTTGCGCGCATGGCGATTGGCAACCGTGAGAGATGGAGACAGCTCGTGAATGACTTCATCGAGCAGTGGGTTGCTCATGGCTGATGATGATGTATGGACATACAGTACTAATCATTGTGCAGATGCCGATAATTATCAGTATGTTGCACACAGCCTGGTCAGTGTACTGCTGGCTGAGACGAGTGACTTCCTTGCACACACACAAGCCGTGCAGGCCGTGGGGGTTTTATCTGACCATACTTCACCACGCTGGTCAGTGAAGCCTGGGGAGTACAGGGAGACAATGGGCTTTGTTGGACGGCCTCCTGCTCCACCAGCAGCAGTGCTCACCCAGTCGACAATTATCTAGGCTCAATCTGCGTAGCTTCCAACGCAGTCAGAAACTATGGTTCAGAAAAGTGTAGAATGTTGTTTATTTTAATACTGGAATTAAATAATTTGAATTGTTTACTCTTTAACTAAATGTTGTATCAATGATTCATATATTTTCTTCTTCCTTTTCAGATGACATTTTAAAATGTAAAGAAAATGTAATGATTTGAGACGAAACAAAGTTGATCTTAATCTTAAAAAAGTCCAAAATTCATTTCAATAGAGAATTCATGACTCACGCTTTGCTGCCAATGGAAGCCAGAGTTTGGACATTTGTGAAAACAAATGGAACACCCCGTTGTGCGATACGTTAACATAAATAACATGAATATATAACATTACAAATATATAAATATAATAATCCGCTGTGTCTCCTGACTTTTGGACCACCTTGTATGACCTTACCAAGTTAAATGTGAAAACATATATCAACACATTCATCAATACCATTGCCTTTACATGTATATAATTGGAGACGTTTCGGACAAGGGCCCTTCTTTATAGCACGTGTAGTTCGTTTTTTTATACATCTCTTTCGGCAGTGTGATTGCATAATGTGTGGAGGTTGTCTTTGTTAATCATGCGTATGCACCCTGCCAGCGCAGCAGCAGCAGCAGCAGGCGGCGCACCACGCGCCTTTTAAACCTGACGTCACATCACGATGATGCCGCGCCTCCGATGAACACGCGCCGCTGTAAGGAGGTTCACGAAGTGTAGCACGTCGGAGGCTTTCGCGACCAATATCATCCATAATACAGGTTTTTTAATTTAGTGTATTATCATGGATCTATTACAGTGTAACAAAAACATGTTTTTGTTACACTGTGTAGTAAATGTTATTTTCTAATTGCTTATGTCTCAGAAGTACTGAAATGTTTATTGTTATTCCCCACAAACTTTGCTTTTGTGATCAGGACAGAGACATTTTGAATGTAACTATTTTCAATGAGAAAACGTGGTGTGCATGTGTCTTTCCTTCACATAAAGTCCTGGTCACAAAAGAAACGTTTGTGGGGAATAATAATAACCATTTTCTATTCGTTTTGGGCATAAGCAATTAGTAAATAACACTTACTACCCAGGAACAAAGATCGTGTTACATAGTCGCCGTTTACTCAGAACGCTTCCTAATCCGCGTGCTCGACACGAGCTGTGCCTGGTGGTGGCTACCCTCGGTATAATTGCCCCACTGGCTTTGATGTCTGCGCCGTGGTTGCCACTTTATTGAGGGATTTAATTTGAAATTAAAATGCGGAGCGCAGGTTAACAATGAGCAGCCCAACGTGTTCGCAATCGACTATTAAACAAAAACCCAACACATCTGTGAGTAACATTGCGGCCGAAAATGAAATAAATCTAAACAAA